GTCAGCAGAGTCAGCAGAGTCAGCAGAGTCAGCAGAGTCAGCAGGTTGTTTGTCTCAGTAAATCCTGTTCAGCGAACAAAAGCGGACGACAAATGAGGCGCCGGCAGCAGGCCGAGGCGCTGCGCCTAATTGACTTGACTGACTTGACTGATTGACTTGCTTGACTTGCCTACTTTGAGTGATTTTACGGACTAAGTGTCTTGGCTACTTAACTGACTTGACTTTATTGACTTGACTGACTTGGCTACTTCGAGGGACTTTACATATTTGCTTAATTGACTTGACTGGGTGTCATGGATAACTTTACTGACCTATATTCATTGATTTTACTGACTTGACTGAGTGAATTGACTGAGCGACTTGACTGAGCGACTTGACTGACTGGCTTAACTGATTGACTTGACTGAATATCTTGACTGACATTACTGTATGACAACTGGCTTGATTGAGAGACTTGACTGACTAGGATAATAATTGACTGGCTGAGTTGATCAACTTAACTAACCTTCCCAGTAGACTTTTCTGACTTGCCTAATTGACTTTACTGATCTTCCTGGCCTTCCAATATGAATGACGTCACTGACTTGACTAATTTGACTATCTTGACTGACTCGACTGAATGCCTGACTCTAATGGCTGTTCGTGAGGCTCATTAATTACTACTTTACTAACCAACAATACTTCATTTATCCTGCATGTCGTAAGCCGTAATCCTCATTAAGTCGTTGGCAGTAATAGGACGTTAGTAAAAATAAGTCGTACAAGTCGTGATAAGTCGTAATAAATATTAAAGACAGGCCCTGGCATGAAGCTGTTCATGTAGTTCATTACGACCTAAATAAACAACATTTTTTAGTATCTATTTCTCCTCAAAATTCGTAGCAAGTTTTAAGTAGTAATGAGTCGAAAGTCGTTATTAGTCTCAAGTAGCTAAATCGTAATCCACAATAAATCTTAAGTAGTAACAAGTCTCAAGTATAAATCAGTCGTAATCCACAATAAGCCTTAATTCGCAACGAGTCTCAAGGAGTAATGAGTCGTAATCCAGAATAAGTCTTAAGTAGCAACAAGTCTTAAGTAGTAATGACTCGTAATCCACAATAAGCCTTAAGCAGTAACAAGTCTTAAGTAGTAATGAGTCGTAATCCCCAACAAGCTTTAAGTAGTAACAAGTCTTAAGTAGTAATGACTCGTAATCCAGAATAAGCCTTAAGTAGGAGCAAGAGTTAAGTAGTAATGAGCGTCAAGACAGGCTCGGCATAAAGCTGTTTGCGCGGCCGGCTTAAGCGCCTGGCAGTTCATCTCTGAGCTGCCGTCTCACGCTTAAAAAAACCGCGATTGTGCCGCCGGTTGAGACGCGCATGTGTAGCCGTGTACACAATATTGTCAGGGATGTGTGTGTTGCTGTGTATTGTATATGTGTTGTGTTATTTATTGTGTATTGTTTATGTGTTATTGTATGTTATATGTGAGTTATTGTTGCTGAAAGTATTATTGTATACGGAGAATTGTTATTATTGACAGGCATTGTGAAGTCCTAAAATGAATACAACTAAAAGTAATTTAGTTGTATTCATTTAGTAACTAATACGTTATTAAATGAATTCATCATGTAACTGGCAGGTACAGGCCAGTTCACGAGAAATTAGGGAATAAATCTGGGACGATATTTATACGATGGCAAGTGTGCAATATTGTTTATAAGATGGCAAGTGTGCAATATTGTTTATATGATGGCAAGTGTGCAATATTGTTTATATGATGGTAAGTGTGCAATATTGTTTATATGATGGCAAGTGTGCAATATTCAATAACTGGCTTAAGTTCATGAATGATATTATCAAATAAATGATATTCATGAATATATTATTAGTATTTATGAATATATTAATGATATACATGGCTTGATAACCACAGTCATGTCCAAGCGCCTCCTATGCTAATTGAAAACTCAATATTGAGCAGTAAAACAACATAATGGAAAAACTATATTTTGTGGTAAAAACTGAGTTATGTGGTGTAATAAAGTATACAGTATACTGTATACAGTATTGTAGGATACAGTATTATAGTATTATAGTATACAGTATACGACAATATAAACTATAAATAGATAATATACTTTAACAAACATCCGCGGGTTGCGGGAAGTTACGTGCGGCGCCCGTGGAGTTTGTTGCGGTTTTGGCCTCCGCCGCTTCAGTGCGATGAGGCCATCGCCTCAGTGAGGCTGATGAGGCCATCGCCTCAGTGAGGCTGATGAGGCCATTGCCTCAGTGAGGCTGGTGAGGCCATCGCCTCAGTGAGGCTGGTGAGGCCATCGCCTCAGTGAGGCTAAGGCGGTAACAGATGGTGACTAATAGATGAACAAGATGAGGCGGTATCAGATGGTGACTAAGAGATAAACAAGATGAGGCGGTAACAGATGGTGATTATATGAGATTAACAAGATGAGGCGGTAACAGATGGTGACTATGAGAGATGAACAAAATGAGGCGGCAACAGATATATAGTGACTAAGAGATAAACAAGATGAGGCGGTAACAGATGGTTACTAATTAAGAGATGAACAAGAAGATATAGGAACAGCGATGGTGACTATAGAGATGAACAAGAGAAGGCGGTAATATATAGATGGTGGCTAAGCGATGAACAAGACGAGGTAGTAACAGATGGTGACTATATAAGAGATGAACAATTAAGACGAGGTGGTATATAAGAGATGGTGACTATGTAAGAGATGAACAATAATTATTAAGACGAGGTGGTAATTGAGATGGTGACTATCAGATGAACAAGACAAGGCAGTAACAGATGGTGACTAACAGATGAACAAGAAGAGTTGGTAACAGTGGTGACTAAGAAATGAACAAGATGAGGTGGTAACCGCAATGGTGACTATAAAAGATGAACAATTAAGACGAGGTGGTAAGAGATGGCGACTAAGAGATGAACAATTAAGGCGAGGTGGTAAGAGATGGTGACTAAGAGATTAACAAGACGAGGCGGTAACAGATGGTGACTAAGAGATGAACAACAGGAGGCAGTAACAGATGGTGACTAAGAGGTGAACAAGAAGAGTTGGTAACAGTATGGTGACTATGAGATGAACAAGATGAGGTGGTAACAGCGATGGTGACTATAAGAGATGAGCAAGTGAAGGTGGTAACAGTTGGAGACTATAACACATGAACAATACGAGGCGGATAACAGATGGTGACTAAGAGATGCACATGAGGAGGCGATATCAAATGGTGACTAAGAGATGAACAAGACGAGTCGGTAACTCATGCAGATAGTGACAAGTGATGAACAAGACGAGGTGGTAACAGATGGTGACTAAGAGATGCACATGAGGAGGCGATATCAAATGGTGACTAAGAGATGAACAAGACGAGGCGGTAACTCATGCAGATAGTGACAAGTGATGAAACATTGTCATGCTGGGTAAGTGATGGTGAGTGTGAGTAACTAACTAGCCTGCCATGAAGTATAGCATGCAGCTCGCTAGTTAGGCTATCACTAGCACATTGCTATGCTCTTCGCTCAGCCTCTATTATCATTGTAATAGTTTCACTCCTCCAGCGCCGGCACCTCATTGGTGAAGGAAGAGATTTGTGGGAGGGATTAGGGAGCGAAGGGAGGCGCAGGGGGCGGCCGTGGGATGCGAGGAGTCCTTTAAGGATATTTAGAGTCAATTTAGGGAACCTAGGGAGTAGCGTGAGCTAGTCACCGAATTGGCCCTGTGCCGACCGTTCGGGAACGATCCCGCTTCTGTTGTACTGGTGGGGAATGGGTGGGGTAATGGTAGTGGGAAGGGGGAGTTGGAGTGTCAGGGAGATCCTCCTCAAGAGCTTGGGCTGCTCCTAACTTGAACACAATCTCGGGCTTAGGGGATGTGTCGTTTCATGTCCTCCATACAATGGAGCTGTCGAGAGATTCAACTGGACGACATTCGGCACCACCCTCTTAGAGGGCGTGGACCGTGGGCGGTGCCAAGCCTGTGTCAGCGATCTCATACCGACCAAAGTGATCATTCTTTTAATTATTTTCATCACCTAGACGAGGTAATTTAGCGAGAGTAAATAGTATTAGGAGCAGCGGATGAATCACTGCCTCGACGGCCATTTGGCTTCTCCGACACGCCAAAGGCATTTCGGAGCGCGTCTAACGACACCGGCGCTTTGCTCCATCAAATAGGGTTTTATTAGAGAGACTTTCGGCGAATTGGTTTAGCTAGCCGCCGGTTTAGGATCCTCAACAACCGCTTACCTTTGTGTCGTGCTCAGATATATCAATAAATCTTGGCACCGAACCGCCCTATGGTGTAGAATCAAAGGTCGTTCAGTGGCCCAATGTTACAGAGACGACGACACTCTCGTGAAGACCCAATCTAAACAAGTGGCCCAAAGTTTTGGGTCCGAGACAATATCGTGAAAACCCAATCTAAACAAGAGCACTCGCCTCATCACGGCTGTCGTGATCTTTAGCTTCAAGATCATAGCCAATTGAGGATTCCGTTCCAGTAGCTAATGGATTTTCTGGTGCAACACTCGGCATGGCAATTCGCTGATTGTGATTCGATATCGCGAAGCTTTCCAAGTATTGGACTTCAAATATAGTTCTTAATATCATATCGCATTTGACTTCAATCTTAAATTTAATAACGAAATTTAACTTCCACGGCTCTAGGGGGTCATTTTTCTGAAACTGGAACAGTTAAAATCGTTTCAGGTGATTAAGTTTACTGACATTTCCAGCCAGAAATACACACTGACTGCCATGGCGAACGCTACCGGTCACTAATTGACTCCGTGTATTCTAATCGCCTTCATCTTTTATTGAGAGTCACGGTAATTGATGTTATATAGATTAGTCATTAGCCATTAGCTTGGTAATGGCTATTGACTGTGATGACACCTTTAGAAAGACTCGCCTCTATAATTACCCCCAATGACCTCGATCAGGTCTCAGCCTGGCTCGTGACACTCTCTAATTACCTGCTTGTTATCGCCGGCCACCGTCTGGCCACGCATGATACGGCGATAATTTTCTATAAGGTTTATTGATGCCTAATGACCCTTGACTTTCTATAGAAAAAGTACGGGCGTTTTATCGCTGGCCGACCGTCGGCCGACGCTGGTCGGGCTCCAGTCTCGTTCCTCAACCGACATAGACTAAGCTGATGAATTAAACTATTATTATTTTCTTTCTTCACGTTGACTTTATAATGTAAAAAAGTTGAATATTAACAATGGATTTTGATGTGACTCTCAAGACTCGCTCATTAAGGCGTGAGTATCGAGTTAACAAGTTCGTTGGTGGCATTAATGGCACAATGAATGATTAATGAGTTCAGCGAATTAGCGTGCACTGTGCAGGGTTTCGTCTAATAAACTTCTCATTAGTAAAGCCGGTTTTATATTGCTTCAAAGACAATGTTTATCGATACGCATTAATTCTGAATTGAATTTAAAAACTGAGCTGTCAGTGGCGCAACATACAACTATACATCCAGAGTAATGCGTGTGACTTTGTCCAACATGCAATTAATAGACAAAAGCTCATACATTTTTCTCATATACATTCCAAGATAATTTTCTCACACATTTCAAAAATATATAGCGGCCAGAAAATCGAAAGTATTATTTTGTATAATATTCGTAAATATTTTCATGATGAAAACGTAATATGCATCTATTGAAAAAATTAACTTCAAATAGTCTTTTGATCAGTTTATTGTTACCAAGGAGAAGATCGTAAAAAGTGTCGCACATACGGGTTAGATTATACTAAGAGAAATGAATGGGACTTTAATTGTCCCATTCATTCTTTTTAATGTAATTTAAATTTAATATTATCGGTCATTTTAACACAGTTTGGCCCAGCAGAAGGGCGTATATACGTGTTATGTACAGAAAGTGTTTCGATATTTGGACAAGATGACCATATGCAAGTCATTTCTTTGAGTGTATATAGAATTAAAAAATTCTGGCGTAGGATGCACTGCAATTAAATTCCGATTGTAAGTATTTGAAATTAAAGCATTATTTTAAAAACACTTTTAGACTTAGAAGAAATCTTGGTACCCATTTACTACATATAAATCAGGGTAAAGCTGTATGATTCGAATATTAAATTCGAATTAGAATATTGAATTTGGATATACGTTGAAATTTGAAACGTTGAAAATATACTTTTTATTCAACTTTTTAATGTGTGTTTTATTCAGTGATTAAATAGGCGTTTTAACAGACATTTGATAGACATATTTTAATAGGCATTTAAGCCAAATACGAAATAAAAGAAAAACTGTCAAACTTAATCCAAGTTCAGATTTTATTACGACTGCAACTGATACGACGACTGCAACTGATACGACGACTGCAACTGATACGACGGCTGTAACTGATACGACGACTGCAACTGATACGACGGCTGCAACTGATACGACGGCTGAAGGAGTTCCAGGCCACAGCATCTGGGGGAGGTCCTGGGGGAGGAGCTGGGGGAGGGCCTGGCCAGCTCGGCGGGGCTGAGGCTGGGGCGCTGGATCAGTCCAGCAGCGCTGCCTCCTCCAGTGCCGCGCGTCCAGGCACTGCCACTATTGCCTCTGCCACTATTGCCCTGAGTGATATTCCTCTGCCACTATGGCCCTGGTGGCAGAACTGAGTGATATTGCCTCTGCCACTATTGCCCTTTTGGCAGAACTGAGTGATATAAGATAACGTCTGCCACTATTGCCCTGGTGGCAGAACTGAGTGATATAAGATAACGTCTGCCACTATTGCCCTGGTGGCAGAACAGATTGATATAGCGTCTGCCACTATCCCTGCCATTAATGCCACGAGTCGCAGTTATTCTGGAACAAGATACAAGTGATGTTACTTATCGTACCGTGCAATATAGCGTACAGTTAAGTGAGATACATCACCGTGCAACTGTTGATGCGTACGATGGTGTAATTATTGGAGTTAATAGTGTGGTAATTAATAATTATAATTAAAGGTATAATAATTAATGCTTATATATATTTAATGTAAAGAGCATATGAAAGTTGGGTTATATTTTCAAAGGTTAATGGTGGTTCAATTCATAAATAACTAATTAATTTATAACGTTTAAATTAAACAAATTTGGAATATAAATGACGTTCAGTTTAAGCAAACCATTTGAAGATTAACATTATTATATTGACGCTCTAATTTACAGGATTCTATTGGATGTGAGTAGGATGATGCAATAAAATTCAATATATTCTAGAAGAATAGACAATAACACAAAAATATAACTCAGTACTCACTGCAGTGAGTGACAGAGAGCGCATTTTCTCGTTAACGAAAACTTGAGGTCACGGACGGACGGACGGACAGACGGACATGACGAGCACAATAAATGAGAAAATGCGCTGAAAAAGATAGTATAGTATAATAATACTTAACCATATACCGACATACATCAGAGTACACCACGACACACAAATGAAACACATACAATTGTATAACACATCCATGTATTGTCGGAGTGTTTGGGTTGTGAGACTAACTATATATATATGCATGCTATCTATATAACTATAATAGTTAGTGTGTCACTATATCTTAATAATAACTTCATTGGACAGACGGATCATTATTTAATGGAGACCATCTATAATAATGGTAGAATATTTCACTATAATGGTATATAGTTATGAGTAACCATTTCTTTGACGTTATAGGCATATAAAAAAAATGAAGGCTTTTCAATAATTTATTAATGTGTGTCTGATTGAGTTTTTGTGTAATTTGTATATTGGGAAAATAAGTAATATATTCCGTTATTGTTATATTATGGATATCTAAGATATGATGTATACGGAACGTAATATATTATAATATTATATTGTGGATATATATGATGTATACGTACGTTCGATACGCACGTACGTATACATGCATCATATATACGTACGTGCGATACGCAACATAATATATTATAATATTGTGCATGCGTAATACCTTACGAATCCGCAATGCTTATACCGTGTTGGAGTATATTATGTATATAATATAATGTGGTATAAAAATATGCTACATTATACTATACATAAAATATATATGAGATGTTTGCCATAATACTATACCACATTATATTTTTATTGATGGAATCGAGAGGCACGGCCATCTGGTATGGTTGCTTTAATATAATGTGGTATATTATTAATATGTCAAACATCTCATATATATTTTATGTATGGTATAATGTAGCATATTTTTATACCACATTATATCATATATAAAATATACTCCAACACGGTATAAGCATCGCGGATTCGTAAGGTATTACGCATCCACAATATAATAAAAATTATGTTGCGTATCGTACGTATACATCATATATATCCACAATATAATAATATAATATAAAATGGATACACTTATTGCCTACTTTATTATAATAACATTATTATAATAATGATCCGGAGACCAGATCCCTAAAAGGTTCTCAAATCTTATAGAATAAAAGTTCAATTAACATAAAATAAATAAAACAATAAAATTCCTTTAAAATTTTGTTACCGACATCAAGCGAGGGTAATTACCTAAGTTGAGCGAGAGTAACATCGGGTATTTTCCAATATATTGATTAATTACCCTATAAATTATCCGCAGGATTAAAGAATATAATCCTTAAGAGATTTGAAAATGCTCTATTTCTTAAGTCCTATAACTTTTCTCTAATATAATTATTATCATGAGACGTGAGCATTGGTATATTTTTCTAATCATCAAAAATCATTTCATCGAACATTTAATTTACGTTCTTCAATTTTACCAAATTTTGAAGTGATAGTGAACAGCTAAAATAAAAATTTGATTTTGTTCATTCACACCCCCACTCCACAGTTGAAAATCACCTTAAGAATATCCCAATTAAAAAAAATATCATGTCCCGGTTATGTCTTCACAACACGCATATTCACAGACATACATAAATATTTTTAACACTTCAGTGTCCAGCTACACATGAATGTATATATATATATATATATATATACATGTCGCCTTTCAATATAATATTTTTAGTTCATGTATATGAAGCTCATTCATGGACAAATGAATCGCCTTTAATTTCAGGCTGCGCTCTGACGCTATATGACCCAGTGGACATATACATAGACTTTCAAATTTTTTTCATTGAATAAATTTCTGGAATGTGGTGTTTTGAAATCGCAATAAATTGGTAGCTTAAGGGTTAAACATGCATGAGAACAAATAACAACCCTTTTTCTCTTGTCCCTATATAGCATGCACATTTATACAATCTTAACCCGTCAATTTTACCATCCAATTTTTCTACTTTTTAACTTGACATCCAACCTTTTCTATCCTGCGGTTCCTAACCTTCTGTTTGTCCATTTCTTCCCACGAGTTTGCAAATTTTCACCCTCGTATATGCCCTTTCTACCCTCTTATCATATATTTTTATTTAAAACCTACATTTCATCCTCGAGGGTGCCATTTATAATTTTCGGTCTGCGATTTTCAGCCGCGAGTCTGCCATTCCTACCCTCCATCTGGCCTATTTCACCCCTCAAACTGCCATTTTCAGCTTACCGTTTTCAATTTTCAAACTGATATTTCTACCCTTCAATAATACTCCCATTTCCAATTTCCAGTCGGTTATTTCTATCCTCCAACTTGGAATTCTACCCTCGAAACTACATATCCACGTACAATCTTGCAATTCGCCTCCCCACCCAGCCATATTTACACCCTTCAAACTACAATTCCTCCCCTCAATTTTCCAAACCCCGCTACTAGCCAACCATTCCCACCAATTTTTTTATTCAATTGAAAAAATGTAGACCATTTTTTCTATAATATTTACAACGATTAGTAAAACTTGTATTTTTGCTCCTGAATATCAACAATATATTAATTTTCCTTCTGGACTGAACCCAGCAGGCATTCGGTGGTTGAATCAACGTTGAATCAATTACGCATTACGACATTGAGATCGGGGTGAAAGGAGGTTTAGAATGAAAATTGAAGCAACATCTTTCATGCAACGTCGTACTGACGTTACAATGCAACGTTGAATCGATGTTGCTACTACGACGTTGCTGCAACGTTGAATTCTATGGTTGAATCGACGTTGAAACAACTACGCATTACGACATTGAGATCGGGGTGAAAATAGGTTTAGAATGAAAATTGAAGCAACGTCTCTCATGAAACGTCGTACTGACGTTACAATGCAACGTTGAATCAATGTTACTACTACGACATTGCTGCAACGTCAAATTCTCTGATTGAATCAACGTTGAAGAACCAACCTGTTTTTCGTCCGTGGCAGGATTCGAACCCGGGATCGCTGGAGACCGCGCGACGCCTTAGCAACCTTGACCACGGCAGCTCGCGTGCATGAGCAATAGAAATAAGCTAAAGAATTGTTTGACTCCTTGAAAATTGAACTGCATTCTCTGGTCATTAATCGTACAGTTATATATATGTATTTCATTCAATGTTGGTGTGATAACATTAGTTCCATGCTGGTAAATAGCTAAACATTCAACGTACCGATATCGACCATTTTTCAACGTTGAAATAAGGTTGTTTTCCGTCCTTTCTACTTTTAGTCAGATTTCAACGTTGATCGGACGTTTAATTTTGGTTGTTCAGCATTTCAACCTAAAATCAACATTGATTGAACGTTTAAAAATAAATAAACATTCAACGTACCAATATCGACATTGTTTCAACGTTGAAATAAGGTTGTTTTACGTCTGTTCTAGTTTTGGTCAGATTTCGACATTGATCGGACGTTTAATTTTGGTTGTTCAGCACTTCAACCTGATATCAACATTGATTCAACGTTTAAAAATAAATAAACATTCAACGTACCAATATCGACGTTGTTTCAACGTTGAAATAAGGTTGTTTTACGTCTGTTCTAGTTTTGGTCAGATTTCGACGTTGATCGGACGTTTAATTTTGGTTGTTCAGCATTTCAACCTGAAATCAACATTGATTCAACGTTTAAAAATTAGTAAAAATTCAACGTACCAATATCGACGTTATTTCAACGTTGAAATAAGGTTGTTTTACGTCCCTTCTAGTGTTGGTCAGATTTCGACGTTGATATGACGTTTAACTTTGGTTGTTCAGCACTTCAACCTGAAATCAACATTGATTCAACGTTTAAAAATTAGTAAACATTCAACGTACCAATATCGACGTTATTCCCACGTTGAAATAAGGCTGTTTTACGTCCCTTCTAGTTTTGGTCAGATTTCGACGTTGAATGGACGTATAATTTGGGTTGTTCAGCATTTCAACCTGAAATCAACATTGATTCAACGTTTAAAAATTAGTAAAAATTCAACGTACCAATATCGACGTTATTTCAACGTTGAAATAAGGTTGTTTTACGCCCCTTCTAGTGTTGGTCAGATTTCAACGTTGATATGACGTTTAATTTTGGTTGTTCAACATTTCAACCTGAAATCAACCAATAATCAACGTTGTTTCAACGTCGGATGCCTGCTGGGAAACCACCATCGAGTTAGTCTTGTAACTAATCTATTAAGAACCTTTGTTCTTCTTGCGCAGAGTATAGGGAGAACAATAAGTGTTACAATGTTTTAAATCTGCGTGATGCTGTGCACTCCTTAGATATCTTTGGTACCCTAAAACTGAAGTATCTTTTGTATGCCACAATTAAATTATTCAGAAACGAAACATCTTGAATATAGGGAGGAACACAAACACAGTATTCAGGATAGTGAGCTCATCATACAGAATATACACAGGATATTCTGCTACAATATAAGCTTTGTATTTCAAGGTACTGTCAACCGAAGAAGTGTTGTGGTAGTTCAGGACAAAGTAAGCGCGGCTTGTATCGGAATAACTAAAGTGTTATCCGAAGAAGCTGGTGTGTTTCCTATTGAAAATCAGAGCCGTAACAGAGCTGGCCGAGCGTTGACCAGCAGGTGGCCGCCCGCCTATAACCGGCCTATAAATCACCTATAACCTGGAAGAGGGCAGACTAAGATGACGGTAGAAGTCTGCAGCTACAGACGCGGGTTATCAAGAATGTCTTCAACTCATCATCCCCATGCTGACAACCCCTCACCACCTCCCCCTCTGCACATGCTCGGTGTTCTTCCCCCTCACAATGAGGAGGAGAACTCCCCACGTTTCCCCAACAAGGGATCCCATGATATGTACCACGGGACTTCCTCTCCCCCACGACACAGCCCGTGTTCCCCAAGTCCTGAGGATAGCTCCCCAAGGTCCGAAAATTTCCCCATATGCCGGCAAACCAATTCCCCACCAAATCCCCACCACCGACACCGTCGGTCCCCAACAATATCCACGCACGAGACCGAAATGTCAGCGGCAACGGCCCGCCCAAAGTTCATGATAACCGACATACTTCGGTCCAGCGGACTCCGAGTCCCGGACCGAGGGCCCAGGGGTCCAGAACGCGGGCCCCGAGACACCGAAAAGCCCCGCTTGTCAAGCCCCAGTGGGGCCCAGCATCCAGCTGGGCTGGACCAGCTGGACAGTCGACCAGCTGACGAAGTTGATTTTGATGAGACCAGCCACGACGAGGAGGACGACATGGAATACAACAGTGAGTATTCCTTATGATTTGTAACAGCCCACGGCCACGCTGGTTGTCTTGTGTAACTCACAGGTTTAAATGACTGGTGTAACTGACAGGTGTAACTGACAGGTGTAACTGACAGGTGTAACTGACAGGTGTAACTGACAGGTGTAACTGACAGGTGTAACTGACAGGTGTAACTGATAGGTATAACAGGCAAGTTAACAAACATGTGTAATTGGCAGATGTAACTGAAAATTACAATTAACGGGTGTAATTGGATGTTATTAGGTGGCCATTAGTTAGCGATATTACCGCTGCAACTGTTCGCTCACCGGCCACATGAATGAAAAATTTTTGATTCTAGTGGTGGCTACTTGCTGCTGGCTAAGTAGCCGTGCCGTCTTCTCTCCACACGAGGCCAGTAGGCCATCTACTAGTGGCGGTCAGTACTAGTCAGTTTAGTGGCCGCCACAAATGGCATGTGGGAGAATTTTCCATTTCTCTCTACTTTTCATTTGATTTGAAAATTCAGAAATATCGATATCATTTTACATAGTAAAATGAAGCATGAATTGTAAAAATTGACAAAATGTTTTAAAATAATTGACAAAATTCCAAATGCGAGTTCCGTTTTGAATGAAAACTGCTTAGTCTCTTTAATATCGTTGTGCCCTATTATTCATTGCGACCTGAAGCATTAAATTTGCACCCTGCAACATAACACTTACAACCTGCAACATAACACTTACAACCTGCAACATAACACTTACAACCTGCAACATAACACTTACAACCTNGACGTTATTTTAACGTCACTGCAAGTTAAATGACGTTGAAAAGACGTTATTTTAATTAACATCGCTGCAGGCCAGTATAGCGACGTTATTTTAACGTCACTGCTAGTTAAATGACGCTGAAAAGACGTTATTTTAATTAACATCGCTGCAGGCCAGTAAAGCGACGTTATTTTAATGTCACTGCTAGTTAATATATTTTCTCGTAATGTCCCTCAGCGATCTGGATGGTGAGGGAAGTGATGCGTCACATTATAAGTCGAGTGTAAGTGTAGAGGGAAGGAAATTTTGATGGAAGCGAGGGGAGGTTTGAGGGAAGTTTTCGTTGATTTGATAGTCCGTGGGAAAAATTAAAGTTTGGTTGTTGTTTTTTCGTTGGGGGGGGGGGAGTCGGGAAGGAAAAAACAGTTATAGAATTTTAGAATGAAAAAATAAAAGAAAAAATGTTATTTATGAAGGAAAAGTGGTATACTTCTAACTTGAAAGTTTTTAAAGTTAAAAAAGTTATTAAAGGTAAGTTTTTAGTTAATTAAATTATTTTACCAGAAGGATGAAAATAAATATCATGTCTAAGAAAACTCTGATTTAATGAGTCGTTGGCATCGCGTAGTCGCGGTTGACACTGCGCCTATATAAAGCGACGGCAGGCCGACACGGCCTCTCATTGTGATGCAGGAGGGGGTGTCGACGCTTTGTTTTGTCGGGTGATGATGGCCGCGGTCGCACCCTACATGGTTACCTGCTACCTGCCTTCAATCCAACTGTAATCGTCCTAGAATAACATTAATAAATTACTCATCTGCGGGGAATACAAATGGGAAGTGATAAGTAACGCCCATTATCTTTCTCGCCCTAACATTGACCATTAACAGTAATTATTTTCACGGTCAATTCAGACCCAGAAACGTTTGGTATTGAAGGGTTAGACCCTTAATTAAAGCTGGACCCTTATTCAAGGGCTAAACTCTTATTGAAAACTTAAACCCTTGAAAACCTTTTTTATGGGCTAAACCCTTATATAAAAGCTGAACCCTTACTTAAAAGCTGTAACCTTATATAAGGGCTAAGCTCATTTGTTCATATTTATCAATTACCTGCGCCCAATAATTTTCATATTTTTATAACGATAAAATATCTGTAGCAATTAAAATTTCATTGAAATTAATGAAGTCTTTCCTCCTCTAAACTTATTAAAATTTAAATATTCTATTATGTACCTAATACGTTTAACCTCATAGAACTTTTATTATTACTTCTAAATTATATTAAAAATTTGTATAACTGCAGTCAACCATGACCAATTTTACACAAAAATATTGTTAACCATATAATAACATAAATAATTTTAATTCATGACATATACTGCATTAAATATATAGAGTGTTCCCTAATATCTATTGACTCAACAGTAATGCTATTCCTACCTAATATCTATTGAATAAGCAGGAGGTCCTCATGTCGTTACTGTAACATGTTCAACATGCTACCTACCAAAATATGATATTTACATCGCAATGTACTTGATTAAACTTTACATGTTGCGTACAAGTTGCGTGTCCTGAGTACAAGTTGCGAGCTACCTACCTAATAAGTAACGAACATGTTACAGTAAAGAACATGTTACAGTAAAGGACATGTTACATTAAGGAACATGTTACAGTAAAGAACATGTTACAATAAAGAACATGTTACAGTAAAGAACATGTTACAGTAAAGAACCTGTTACAGTAAAGAACATGTTACAATAAAGAACATGTTACAGTAAAGGACATGTTACAGTAGCCCTTTACGCAACATGTTCTTACATATGTCCATGGCAGTTGACGCAACAAATTTATAATATTTTTATTAAAATCTATATACCAGTATGAAATATTTATTTAATATAATAGTTATCTCTCGATGCGGTACATTTGAAAAGTATAACTGAAGCAATGAACTGCAAACGAGGCTTTTTAACGCGGTTGAGCGCGCTTAAGATCTTTCAGAAGTTATCTGCCGCCTGTGATCTTATATTAATAATTAAATAGATAATTGCGTAACGGGTGAAAAGAGGAGAAATATTCCATAATATTAAAACTTCATTCATCTATTTTAATACTAAATATTGTATAATTTCAAAATATTTTTTAATTATTTTAATATTAACTATTCCATAATATCGAAACATCCTTCATCTCGTTTAATATTAAATATTCCATAATATTAAAATAAAAAATACTGTATATTCACTAATATTATTAATGTATTACTGTATATATACAATATTTAATAATGAATATTAAATAATATATTAATTCCATGTTATTTTAATATTAATTATTTAACACACATATTTAAACCTTCACACATATTTAATAAATAAATATGTGTGTAAAAACCTTATCCCAAGTCAAGACTGATACCCACATATTTAATAAAATAAATAAATATGCGTGTCCGTTCACCCAGGGGGCTTGGGCTAATATTGGATATTCCATAATATTAAAACATCCTTCACCTCCTTTAATATTTAATATTGACCACACATATTTAATAATTAAATATGTATGTCTCCGTTGACCCAGGGGGCTTGGATTAATATTGAATATTCCATAATATTAAAACATCCTTCATCTCTTTTAATATTGAATACTCCATAATAGTATAACATCCTTCGTCTCTTTTATCCCAGTGAAAATTTACAGACGCGTCAGCTTCTGATTTGGATTACCAGAAGCTGGGACGACTCTAAATTATGTTACCCAGTGAAAATTTACAGACGCGTCAGCTTCTGATTTGGATTACCAGAAGCTATGGTGACTCTAAATTTTGTTAGGGATAAAATTTAATATTAAACACACATATTTAATAATTAAATATGTGTGTAACATACATAACGCACAAAAAATACATATATTTAGAAATAAATATGTGTTTCTCCCTTGACCTAGGGGGCTTGGGTGACGCGTCGGGCGGGCAGCCCCCCTGCAAGAAGCAGCGCAAGGCCCGGACAGCCTTCAGCGACAGTCAACTGCAGACGCTCGAGAAGAACTTCGAGCGTCAGAAGTACCTGAGTGTACAGGACCGTATGGAACTAGCGGCTAAACTGGGACTAACTGATACCCAAGTCAAGACCTGGTACCAGAACAGAAGGTGAGTGCGTTGTGTGGTACCAGAAGAGAAGGTGGGTGTGTTGTGTGGTACCAGAACAGAAGGTGGGTGTGTTGTGAGGTACCTTATCCTGCACCACCTTATCCTGCACCACCTTATCCTGCACCACCTTATCCTGCACCACCTTATCCTGTACCCACCTTATCCTGCACCACCTATCCTGCACCACCTTATCCTGCACCACCTTATCCTGCACGACCTTATCCTGCACCACCTTATCCTGCACCACCTTATCCTGCACCACCTTATCCTGCACCACCTTATCCTGCACCATCTTATCCCTAATCACCATAGGACTCACGACTGTCGTATAAGTTACGCCCAGCGCATTAATTTGTAGACATCCGCTCTTCTTCATGCAGGCGATGTCGTAATAACGCACTTACGCAATTAGCGACGCAATAACGCAATTAGCGAAGCAATAACGCTAGTGCGTTAACAACGTCCGCAGCGTCTTTTTTAATCATGAACACGCATATAGTTTTTTAATGAAGCAGTATTAATAGAGTATTTTTTCGAAATATTTTGATTGTGGTTACATTTGCAGTGAATGTTGAATAATCAAAGTTGGTATATAGATTAATGTTTTTTTTGTGAGGGCATTTGGTGTGAGGGCAGTGGTGTGAGGGCAGTGGTGTGAGGGCAGTGGTGTGAGGGCAGTGGTGTGAGGGCAGTGGTGTGAGGGCAGTGGTGTGAGGGCAGTGGTGAGAGGGCGATGACTCATTGTATTTAACTCACAAAACCTATAGCCGTACTAGGTGTGGTGGTCATTATAACCGTGCCATCAAAAGTACGGACAATAACTGATATTTAATGGATATAACACGCTATATTAACGGTTGCTAACCGTTATATTAACGATTTCTAACCGTTATATTAATGGTCACTTACCGTTATATTGACGGTTACCAATTGTTATATTAATGGCCACTAAACGTTATAACAACGGTTCTAACAGTTATATTACCGGCCACGAACCGTTATGACAACGGCCACTAACCGTTACATTAACGGTCACTAACCGTTATATTAACGGCCATTAGTCGTTACATTAACGGTCACTAACTTTTTCATTAACTTTCACTAACTGTTATATTAACGGCACTAACCGTTATATTAACGGCCACTAACCGTTATATTAACGGCCACTAGTCGTTACATTAACGGTCACTAACTTTTTCATTAACGTTCACTAACCGTTATATTAACGGCCACTAACCGTTATATTAACGGCCACTAACCGTTATATTAACGGCCATCAGGACCAAGTGGAAGCGGCAGACGGCTGTGGGTCTGGAGCTGCTGGCTGAGGCGGGTAACTTTGCAGCCGTGCAACGGTTGTACGGCACAGCCGCCGGCTACTGCCATCCGTGGTCGTACCCGCCACCACAGACGGCCGTACCGGCGGGTATAGCCGCGTCAGCTGCAGCTGCAGCCCTGGGCATGTCGCCTGTGGACCTCTACTACCGGCAGGCGGCCGCCGCCCTGCAGAAGCCGCTCGCCTTCAGGCTCTACCCGCCGCCTGGCCTGCAGCTGCTAGCCCCGTCTGCAGCTGCTGCAGCTGCAGCTGCGTCTGCTGCAGCTGATCCCCTCAGGTGAGCCGTCTTGTCCGCAGCTGCAGCTGCTAGCCTGATCAGCTGCAGCTGCTAGCCTCGTCTGCAGCAGCAGCAGCACCAGCTGCTTGCCTCGTCTGCAGCTGCAGCTGCTGGCCTCGCCTGCAGCTGCAGCTGCTAGCCTGATCAGCTGCAGCTGACCCCTCAAGTGCCGGCTGTTGGCAGACGCCGGACTCGCCCCTCTATTGTACGCGTGCAAATTGTACTTCATTTAATTAGCCGTGAACAATATTGTGCGTGCGGTGCAAGTTCGGTTCGTTTAGATTGCCATGAAGGCAAATTAAGTGAACTGAATTATTCGGTGATAAAGTCGAGTGAGTTACTTAACTCATCATTGAATGGGTAAATCATTAATTTTTTATTCGAGTCAGTTACTTAACTCATCATTGAATGGATAAATCATTAATGTTTTATTCGAGTCAGTTACTTAACTCATCATTGAATGGGTAAATCATTAATGTTTTATTCAGAGTAGTTTCCTTCGCCTACCCACTGAGGAAACTTTTTTCAATAAGCAATATCTTTTCTAATATTTTCATTATCTGTCGCCATCAAAATCATATAAATGTTTAACCTCTACATGTATTGATAATCCTTAAATCTGTGTCGGTAATCCGGATTATTCACGATTAATTGAACCCTACAAATGGCGTTACGATCTTAAATCTCAATGGCTTCTCTGATTAATGGCTGAAATCTCTCTAATTTGTTAATAATCGAGTAATAATAAATAATGGCTGAAATCTCTCTAATTTGTTGATAATCGAGTAATAATAAATAATAAGTTAAAATAATTATATTATTAATAAAAGCCATAATAAAAATCAATAATTAATAATCGAGTAACATTCAATAAATTTCTCTAACTCGGAAATTTCTTGTATTCCAGAGACGCTCTGAGGCCAGACGTGTCAGAGACTCTGAGCCGGAGCGCAGAGTCTCTGCGCACGCAGCAGCAACAGCCCTCGTCAGAGACATACCCTCGCTCTGATCTCATACTCAGACCTGAGGCACTCAGAGCTGTCGTGTCCTGTGGCCTCACGTTCCCCTCATCTGAGCCTCACACGGCCTCAGCAGGCCTCCCCTCGGGGGCCTCTCTACCTGCCTCCCCATTATCTTCTACCCGGTCTACCCCGCCTTGTTCTTCCCCATCGCATGGGGCTTACAGACCAGACCATTCCCCTCACTGAGGCTTGGTCTGCCTCAGGTTTTATGTATGCTTCACAATCTCATTTTTATTTGAAATTTAAAATTTGTCCGGTAGCATCAAATGTATTAATTTTCATTCAATTCCTATTTGTATTCACACTCTTTCCCATTTCTTTTAACTACCAATTTATTTGTTTACTTATATCATATACCATTATTTCTTTTTCTAATTTTTTCACTTTTGTTTTCACTTATTCTATCTTTCTTATTTATATCTCATTTCAGATAAGCTAATCACATTTAGTTTTCTTCCCGGGCAATATATTGTCCCAATTATTTCCTTTTCTTGTTAGTTCTAAAATTCGATAATATGAAATAATACATGTAATATGATTACATGAAATATTTTCCTCCATTTTTCTCATTAATTTGATATTCGTCATTCACTAATTTTATATTCCCTTCAAATTTTCGAGCTGCTCTTCACCGCAATTTTGAACGCTTGAACAAATTTAAATTCATATGAATATAATTCGATTCATCTTGTTTAAATAAGAGACATTGTCTTATCTTTGTAAAAGCCTTCAATTTATCAGTACAGTAAATATTTTTTTCATTTTTTCAAGCACTAGCCATCTATTATCTTTTCCTTGTACAATCCGTTAGCTTGTTGATAAAATTGATATTATATTTTTTTCGGGTAATTGTCACTATCTTCTCACTGCATCGTACAGAGCTACCGTGAACTAAAATTCATTGTACAGAGCTACTGTAAAATACCATTACCAGCATTGTGTAGAGCTACTTTTATCTACCATAATCTGCATTGTACATAGCTACTATGAAATACAATTAACTTAGTTATATGTAACTACAGTAAACTACCATTACAAGCATTGTATAGAGCTAAAGTAAAATACCGTTATCTACATTGTATGGAGCTAACCATTAAATGGTACAATGGACTACCAAGCAATTTAAGCAAGATTAGTCTCTTCAGCCCAGTTGATTTTAACTGAATTAGTTTCCCCTCCAGTTTTCAATATAGGGGCCCATTCACTCCAATTAGCCAATTCACCGCAAGGCCTGTCTGCAATATACGACTGGGCCCAAGTGAACAACATTCAATTAACGGAACCAAGTTTTAGGTTCTTAGTGACAGAGGTATAGCTGAAGTGCTGGTGTGGAACACTGCTACCTGGCACCCGTGACGGCATGTAAGTTGAAGAGATGCAACTCTTTCACAATTTCGGAGTGTTGATGGAAACATAGGTCAAGTTTGGTAAATACATAGCGGCAATAACCGCAAGAGGCAGGCGACAGATGGGGTGGATCTCGAGGGTTATCAGAACCAGATAAAAATGTCGGCAGTAGTTCAGAATGGACGTCGTCAGGAGTTCAGAACAACTCCTTGAGTACTGCTGCCAGCTTTGGACCCTACTCATGCTCGGCGCAGTGTTGCAATTGGAAGCGGTCTAGCGAACCTTCATTTCCAGGATTAGTGGAATGGAGGAACTAAAATATTGGGGGAGGATGAAGCACCTGGGCCGTTACCCAGGTGACGGGAGGGGAATGTTATTATGTGCAAAGGGAAAATAACAACTGGGCTGGCACCTAGCTTCGAAAGTGAGTCCCTCAAGATTGTGACATACCAAAATTTGAGAAGGAAGAGACACTGCGGGATACACTCATTAGTCATTATGCGAAATGGCAACGGTCAGGGTTCAACCTCTATACGGGAAGGAACCTTTTCCGTGGCCGGACCGAGGCTGTTCAAGTGTCTTGACAAAGAAGCTGAGAGGAGTGAAATTCTTCCTTGAGACCTGTAAGAGAGGCTGGAAAGTTTTCTTGAGCGAAATTCCTGATCATCTGCCTTTGCACTACTTTGCGGTACTGCCAGAGGTAAATAAGCAGGTATAGTGCATCGGCCGTCCCATCTGAAGGCATCAGCTGGTCCAACTGAAAGCATCGGTTGGCACAAGTTAAGGCACCAGTTGGCCTCAACTGAGAGCATCAGCTGTCCCAACTGAGAGCACCAGTTGACCCAACTGAGGTCATCAGCCCTTGCCTGCTGGGTCTGCAGGTGGCGGAATACTGACAGCGTGGCCTGGGGCTGCTACGTCCAGCGTGGCCTGGGGCTGCTACGTCCAGCGTGGCCTGGGGCTGCTACGACTTAAACGCATACAAAGGATACGTAGGATGCTGTGTAGCAGTGCAGTCTGGTAGCGCAGTGATGCAGTGCAGTGTTCCAGTGCAGTGCAATATTACGGCAAGTACTCTTCGGTATTGCCGCAATACTGAGTGAAGTGCAATACTATACTGTAAATACTCCATTAGGCAATGTAAATACCCTAATAATATCTGCAATACACACTGTAAATATTCTAATATTAACTGCAATATTACGCGTAGATATTGTACAAATTAACTCAATAGATATTTTGTGTACGCAACTTTATTGTCCGTAAATATCGTCAAGAGGTCATCAGGTTTAAATAATAAGCTCGAGAATGGCTTGCTTTTCTTGTGTATAAATACGAGTAAACACGAAACTGGTGCTTATAGGTCCCAGGAGTGCGCTGTATGAGACTACTTTCTTTGCCTTCAAACGTCCACCTTTTATTAATAAGTGACGTTATGGGTTCCTGCAATAATATACATGTGTTTATAGTTGCTATGTATAGTAATTCGAAACCGAACAGCAGCATCGCGTTTCAGCAATATGGGACTGAGACTATACTGTACTTCCGTGAGTTTTGTTATGATGGGCGTGGCGAGTAAAATGTAATAAAATCTACGGACGTCGGCAGCCATGTTTCATTGTCCTCACCCGTCTTGGGCCTCTACACCCACGGGGCCCATCTCTGATCTCCATAACCACGAGGCCAGTCTCTGGCCCCCACACGCGTCGCCCGTGTCTGGCCTACACACCCACGGGGCCCATCTCTGACCGTCACACCCACGAGGTCAGTCTCTGACCCCCACACGCACGGGGCCCGTCTCTGGCCTCCATATCGCTCGTCGTCCGTCTCTGGCCTCCATGGGCCAGTCTCAGGCCCCTACACTCACAAGGCCCCTCTCTGGCCGTCACACTCACAGAGCCAATCTCTGGCCTCCACACCAACGCTGCTAGTCGATCTCTGGGCTCCCCTCAAAAGGGGCCCGTCTCTGGTCACCGCATTTACGGAGCTAATCTCTGGCCTCCCTCCCGCACGGGACCAGCCCACGGTCTCCACAATGACCAGTCACCATTTATCACTAGCGAATATATGAGAGTAATCACCATCATGATATATGCAGCCAACCACTACGGATAACATATGAACCCAATCACTGCCGATATATTTGCAGCCAAGCACTCAGGAAAATTTACGAAGCCAATCACTATGGAATCTCTATGCAGTTAATTATCATAGATAATGTAAGAAGATAATCGCTATCGAATATGGATGCTGCCAATTATCACCCACTGACGGAAAATTGACCGCTATTTTTGAGACACTCGGGAGTTCAAAGGCCTCTCCGAGCGATCGTGCCGAAACCGAGACACCTACGGCAGTACGGCAGCCCAGGTGTCTCAAAGACGTCCAAGTGTCTCAAAATTTTTAATTTTGAGACACCTGGCCGTCTCCAACGTTGAAATACGGATAAACTACTTAGAACGAGAATATAATTCCAGATTCTCAGCGATATCTTTTTGTATCTTAATTATTCCGCTTGCGATATGAAATCGTCACTGAGTTTCTGTAATTTAGGAGTAATGACTATAATTTTTTTGCAAATGCATATGTTAAATTAATAGCTGGAAAGCTGACTGAGAGTTTATTCCAGCTGAATTTACTTTAATAACTCTTAATGTAACAGGGCACTGCAATTCTGAAATAGCTAAAAGGACGATGTTACAAAAAGTGATAACAAGATTGATTGAAGAACCACAATGACTCGGAAAAACTCGGCAGTCGTGCACGCATGGAGGAATGAATTATAAAAAGAATGATCTGAAGAACAACGAATTTTTACAATAGACCGTAATTATTAGGAACGGTTAGATAATACGAAACGGTTAGATAATACTGCAGTGATACGAAACCAACCACTGCCGAATATATGCGCAGCCAATCATCACAAACAATATACTTACCCAATCACTTAAGAATATAATCTATTAATGAACCAACGTGCATACATGTGGATTGCCTGGTATATAACCCTGACCATTCTCCGTTAACCTGCAGCGTTTAGTTAGGTTAAGTATATTGTTATTAATTCCTCCTTCTGACAGCCTTAGATGGAGTTTTATTCCTCTATTTGGCAGCTCTCTAGAGGTATATAGTCTCTCTATAGTCAGCTCTATGTTATAGATTATATAGCTCACTGTAGAGGGACTTCTATATTAGAAGTACCACCGCTGACATCATTCTAATGATATAGTTTCATCACACAACTGACACCATTCTAATGGTATAGTTTCATCACACAACTGACACCATTCTAATGGAATAGTTTCATCACACAACTGACACCATTCTAATGGTATAGTTTCATCACACAACTGACACCATTCTAATGGTATAGTTTCATCACACAACTGACACCATTCTAATGGTATAGTTTCATCACACAACTGACACCATTCTAATGGTATAGTTTCATCACACAACTGACACCATTCTAATGGTATAGTTTCATCACACAACTGACACCATTCTAATGGTATAGTTTCATCACACAACTGACACCATTCTAATGGTATAGTTTCATCACACAACTGACACCATTCTAATGGTATAGTTTCATCACACAACTGACACCATTCTAATGGTATAGTTTCATCACACAACTGACACCATTCTAATGGTATAGTTTCATCACACAACTGACACCATTCTAATGGTATAGTTTCATCACACAACTGACACCATTCTAATGGTATAGTTTCATCACACAACTGACACCATTCTAATGGTATAGTTTCATCACACAACTGACACCATTCTAATGGTATAGTTTCATCACACAACTGACACCATTCTAATGGTATAGTTTCATCACACAACTGACACCATTCTAATGGTATAGTTTCATCACACAACTGACACCATTCTAATGGTATAGTTTCATCACACAACTGACACCATTCTAATGGTATAGTTTCATCACACAACTGACACCATTCTAATGGTATAGTTTCATCACACAACTGACACCATTCTAATGGTATAGTTTCATCACACAACTGACACCATTCTAATGGTATAGTTTCATCACACAACTGACACCATTCTAATGGTATAGTTTCATCACACAACTGACACCATTCTAATGGTATAGTTTCATCACACAACTGACACCATTCTAATGGTATAGTTTCATCACACAACTGACACCATNGCCGAAAATATGTCTCAACTGCAAATGTCTTTTGCTCTGTAGTCCAAGGCATCTCGAAGCTCACACGTGGTAGACTCTTAGATCAATCCGTCTTCTTAATGAATCTGAAACAAATAACAGGATTACTTGAGTATTGTGGAAATTATTCAACTTTTTATGAGCTCTGTTTTTTTTGTGTCACCCTGTACAAGTCCTTTCTGATGGACTGCGTTAATTGTAGTTACGAAGGTCTCAGTGACAATCGAACTATCCAATGGCCGCTACACGAGTCATTCATATTTAAAATTTCTTGGTCCACAGAGCGGCCAGGAGTATGAATCGGTATTTGTGTTTCCAGAGCTGCCCGAGCGTTGGAATCACTTTATATTTCGGCTCACAGAGTTGCCCGAGCGTTGGAATCACTATATATTTTGGGTCCCAGAGCTGCCCGAGCGTTGGAATCACTTTATCTTCGGGCTCCTTCTATATATATTTATAGAGAGAGAGTTGCAAGCGGTAACATTTAGCGTCACTGCCAGCAGAGCGGTAACATTTAGCGTCACTGCCAGCAGAGCGGTAACATTTAGCGTCACTGCCAGCAGTGCAGTAACATTTAGCGTCACTGCCAGCAGTGCAGTAACATTTAGCGTCACTGCCATCAGAGCAGTAACATTTAGCGTCACTGCCAGCAGAGCGGTAACATTTAGCGTCACTGCCAGCAGTGCTGGAGCGCTTAGGAGGCGACACACCGGAAATGAACCGCAATTTCTTCTTTATTTATGAGGCGGCAATTAAAGCTAAACGCGGCGATGGTCGCACGCCTCGCGACCACGCAGCATTACGACCACGATCATGTCGAGCATGCGCGACCACGCAGCATTACGACCACGATCATGTCGAGCATGCGCTGCCACGTAGCTTTACGACCACCATCATGTCACAGCCCCAAATATGTAATCATATGACGGACGTATATATTAAGGTTCACATCCATTAATATGCGATCACATTACGAACTACATATAACAAATAAGTGGCACAATTATTCGCCTCTAATGTTTGATCATGTAAACACGATCACATTACGGCGCAATAAGATCACATTACGCCGTAATGTGATCACGTAATACGGCAGATCCGCTCTGTTGATGGCCGAGTTTACCCTAAATTGAGTTTTTTTACCCCGAATTGAGTTTTTTTACCCCGAGTTTGGCGCCTAATAACAGCTGCACAAGCAGACTAATTTCCTCTTCCTATTGCCCTGTAGAGCGACCGGTGTTTGTTGACGCGGTGTTTGTTGACGTGGTGTTTGTTGACGTGGTGTTTGTTGACGCGGTGTTTGTTGACGTGGTGTTTGTTGACACGGTGTTTGTTGACGTGGTGTTTGTTGACGTGGTGTTTGTTGACGTGGTGTTTGTTGACGTGGTGTTTGTTGACGTGGTGTTTGTTGACGCGGTGTTTGTTGACGCGGTGTTTGTTGACGCGGTGTTTGTTGACGTGTTGTTTGTTTACGTGGTGAATAATATTAACGTATTAATTGACCCAGATGAATTCTAAAGATTACCGTAGGTGATTTAAGTGGCAAATAGCGTTTTTTTAGAGAGTAAATAAATAATGTGGTTAGTTAAGCAAGAATTACTGTCCATGAGATTAATTTACCGGATTAACGTAACCATGCAATAAATAATATAATAATCAAGGAATTAAATTGACCAGGCTAATCCTAACGGACGGAATAAGCATGCAAATGAGGATAAAAAATGGAATTTAATAGCGGAATTTAGCAGCAGAAAAATGAAGGTTGACACCCTCGGCTGTCAACTTCTGTCTAAAATTTCAAGGATGCTCAAGAAAGATTTTTTTTAATTCGTTAAGTAAAGACGAAAATTTAATTGGAATTTCCAATATTTCTATTTTGAAAAAGGGCTGCAAAATTAATTTAGAATTTCTGATATACGCCGCCGGAAACAGCCTTTGTTCGTAGTTACGACATTTTAGAGGAGGGTTTGAGATGTGAGTAATGAGTGATTAGGCCCTCGAGACACTTAATGAGACTAGAGAAACTTAATGAGACTAGAGAAACTTAATGAGACTAGAGACACTTAATGAGACTAGAGACACTTAATGAGACTAGAGACACTTAATGAGAGTAGAGACACTTAATGAGACTTGAGACACTTAATGAGACTAGAGAAACTTAATGAGACTAGAGACACTTAATGAGAGTAGAGACACTCAATGAGACTAGAGAAACTTAATGAGACCAGAGACACTTAATGAGACTAGAGACACTTAATGAGACTAGAGAAACTTAATGAGACTAGAGACACTTAATGAGACTAGAGACACTTAACGGGACTAGAGACACTTAATGAGACTAGAGACACTTAATGACACTGTTGGGCCATGTTTCGAGTCATTGGAGTCACAGATTATGACTCTAAGGAAGTTTCCTTTTGTAAGCTTACAGTTTTGGCTGGTTATGAGTAGCATCGCCGCTTCAGTTTTCTGACGAACTATAATTAATATCCAACATAGTGTATATTGACCGTCAAATGAGCTTTGGCCGTGCTTTCCAGCCGGCCTCCCAAGCATCTCTCATGGTTTTTAATAGGGATAAGCCCAGTTGAGGTTAATGTTGCTCCTAAGAGGAACACATGCCGGCTGCCTTCGTTTCTCCTTTAATATTCAATTGTGATCTCCTTCTTTTCCTATATTATGCATGAATTACTAGCCTTGTTAACTTAATTAAAATTTATTTGGGATTTCTTTTCAGGTATTAAGCATGGCTCCCCTAAAGCCACGGTCAGCCGTTGCTTCGCTTCTCCTTTAATATCCAATTGCGATCTCTTTTTTCTGTATTAAGCACGACCATCCGCCTTATTAACTTCAGTAATATTTATTTGTAATTTTTTTCTTTTATTAAGCATGCCCCCGCCCTACACCCACAGTCGGCCGCTGATGAACTTCCCTTACTCCACAAGAAGGAAGCTCGTGGCTGAGTAAAGTATTATTTCATTTCAAGTATTAAAGTATTATTTCTTTTCAAGTATTAAGCAAAGCCCCGCCCTACACCCACGGTCGGCCGTTGATGAACTTCCCTTACTTGACAAGAAGGAAGCTCGCGGCTGAGTAAAGTGTAGGTTGGACTCGCCCTATCACGGTCGCGTCTCAGCCTCGTTACCAGCCTAATTTATTCTGATTGCTCATTTGCGCTGCGCGAAAAACGCAAAGCCTCAGGCCTCCAACGCCCCCCTCTTCCCCTCACTATATATTGGGGAGGGAAGGTGGGGAGGGAGGGGTGAGTAGGGTTGTTGGGAAAAGGCACCTTAGCCTCTGACTTCCGTGTGAAAAATGGACGGTAGAGTCGTTGAAAGTTGAGGTGAATTCACTCAAATCAGGAAATTTCCAAGTAAAAACGTTCCTCTGAGATCTGAAATTATCAAAATATATAAATGGCACGTGAAAGAACCCAATTTCACAGAGGAAAGAGAGAGAGGGGAGAGGGGGGAGAGACAGGGGAGGCAGGGGGGCACTCGCAAAGCGCTGCGTCAGGGCGTCATTACAGGCGCTGCATTTTTGCTGTGATCGCACGCAAAACAATCGCGTCAGATGACGACGAGCTGATGACCTGCCCAGCTAATGACGTGTGCTGGGCTGCTGCTGGGCCTGCTGCTGGGCCTGCTGCTGGGCCTTCTGCTGGGCCTGCTGCTGGGCCTTCTGCTGGGTCTGCTGCTGGGCCTGCTGCTGGGTCTGCTGCTGGGCCTGCTGCTGGGCCTGCTGCTGGGCCTTCTGCTGGGTCTGCTGCTGGGCCTGCTGCTGTGCCTGCTGCTGGGCCTGCTGCTGGGCCTGTTGCTGGGCCTGTTGCTGGGCCTGCTGCTGGGTCTGCTATTGGGCCTGCTGCTGGGCCTGTTGCTGGGCCTGCTGCTGGGCCTTCTGCTGGGTCTGCTATTGGGCCTGCTGCTGGGCCTGCTGCTGGGCCTTCTGCTGGGTCTGCTGCTGGGCCTGCTGCTGTGCCTGCTGCTGGGCCTGCTGCTGGGCCTGCTGCTGGGCCTGCTGCTGGGCCTGCTGCTGGGCCTGCTGCTGGGCCTGCTGCTAGGCCTGCTGCTGGGCCTGGTGCTGGGCCTTCTGCTGGGCCTGTTGCTGGGCCTGCTGCTGTGCCTGCGGCTATGCCTGCAGCAGGCCTAGTGTCGCACATATCGCGACAAAGTCTTTTGCTGGGCTGTCCCAGCTATTAAAGCTGCTTTTATCCTAAGAGAATCCTTGTAATCCTAACCTAATCCTCATAATATCGAGCCAAGCTCTGGTGCCACACAAGGAGACTTCAATGCACCCCCGACACCGATCTTGCCATTCTCGCCTCGCATCATAAATAATGAACAATACATACAACATTTTTTAAAAAAGTCTTGTCATGTGGCTACAACACAATAGTAAAAATTCAATATTATTTTTGAATTATGTATTAATGAATGAATATGAATTATACATCATCATAACATACCATGCAACTCAACCCCTGCTCTCACAATCTATCCGCGAATAGTTAACAGCGAATGTTGGTTAATTAAATGATTTTCTTCAAACATATCACTTTTATAATAAAGTACTTCGATTTATACAAGTTACTGATTTTGTTCCAAGCTGTTTGTTGCTCGGGCACGTATAAATTGGTTTCAAAAAAGAACATCGGTTATATTTCAGACGGTTTACTTGCACATTTTTAACCAAACCGACAAAGATTGACTGATCATATAAGCTACAAAATTATATATTGATAGAAAACAAATTGTACTTAAAGAAAATTTTGCGTTCTATGTGGCTTATATAAAATTTTTCGGTCTGGATAAATTACATTTAAATAAAATTTTTAGGTCTAGACAAATTGCATTCATAGAAAATTTCAAGGTCCTGACGAATTGCACTTATAGGAAATTTTGAGGTCAAGACAAATTGCATTTAAAGAAAATTTTGAAGTTTAGACAAAATGCAATCATAGAAAATTTCAAGGTGCTGACTAATTGCAATTATAGAAAATTTTGAAGTGTAGACAAATTTCATTTATAGACAATTTTGAGGTCTAGACAAATTGCATTTATAGAAAATTTTGAAGTCTAAATAAATTGCATCTATAGAAAATTTTGAGGTCTAAACAAATTGCATTTGTAGAAAATTTTGAGGTCTAAATAAATTGCATTTATAGAAAATTTTGAGGTCTAGACAAATTGCATTTAAATAAAATTTTGTAACTTAAGACGACCTAGACATTCTAGCATTCTAGATTGAGACAGTCATGGCTGCAATTGCGGTCAATGGTGCAGAAGATATATTAGCTTGAGGTAAAAGGCTTAATTACTCGCACGGTGGACAAATTAGTTGACACTTACTACGATAATTCGAACCGCGCGATTGAGGTCTCTTCATGGCGGAGACAGTACAGTAATCGCTGGTGTTACTAGTGCAGTAATCCCTCACATATCGCTGGTGTAACTAGTGCAGTAATCCCTCACATATTGCTGGTGTTACTAGTGCAGTAATCCCTCACATATCGCGGGTGTTACTAGTGCAGTAATCCCTCACATATCGCTTGTGTTACTAGTGCAGTAATCCCTCACATATTGCAGGAAATGTGATCATTTTGGATCTGTGGTCAAAGGTAAATTTCTTTCACACTGTCCTATAATTACATATTTTTGAGCTCAAGCCATTCATTTCCGCTTGAAATTTCTTTGTTCTCTTTCTGTTCCGATTTCCCCACTACCCCTATACTTCAAAGAGAATTTTTTTTCCTGATTAATTTCCATTACCAGCACAATCGAAAATGTAGATGAGAAATTTTATTTAATTTTTTTAATACCTCTTTGTCATCAATATCCATAAATTCGGACGAGAAATTCGAGTATCTATTTTTAATCAATAATTGCCACCACAACCCGTAAATTCCGGCACGTAATTCAATAGTTTCTCTTTAATTCACAATCGCCGCCACAACTCGTAAATTTGCACGCGAATTTCGATTGTCTGGACCCGCGCAATAGTTGAGTTAGCCCTCCGTCCGCTGAGCTGCTGAGGTACGCAGCAGTTAAGCGTGTCCAGCCCTCAGCAAGCGCTTCTATTGTTCAATAAAGACCCGCAATTACAAGCCAATGAGTTTCCTGTGCACCATTATGGCGCACCATTGCGGTGATGCGTAATTGCTGTGGCTGGTGCTGTGTGCTACTGCTGGTACTGCTGTGGATGGTGCTGCGTGCTACTGGTGGTGCTGCTGTGGCTGGTGCTGTGTGCTACTGATGGTGCTGCGTGCTACTGCTGGTGCTGCTGTGGATGGTGCTGCTGCTACTGCTGGTGCTGCTGTTGCTAGTGCTGCTGTTCCTGGAGCTGCTGTGGCTGGTGCTGCTGTGACTGGTGCTGCTGCTGCTGTGGCTGGTGCTGCTGTGGCTGGTGGTACTGGTGCTGCTGTGGCTGGTTCAGCTGCTGCTGTGACTGGTGCTGTGTGCTACTGATGGAGCTGCTGTTGCTAGTGCTGCTGTTCCTGGAGCTGCTGTGGCTGGTGATGCTGTGGCTGGAGCTGCTGTGGCTGGTGCTGCTGGTGCTACTGGTGCTGCTGTGGCTGGTTCTGCTGCTGCTGTGACTGGTGCTGCTGCTGCTGATGCTGCTGCTGCTGCTGTGGCTGGTGCTGCTGTGGATGGTGCTGCTGCAAGTGCTGGTGCTGCTGTTGCTGGTTCTGCGTGCTGCTGCTGCTGCTAATGCTGCAGGACCTAGTTCTGCTGCTCTTATTGTAAGTTATCAGCGGCTGGATGTGCAGCATTTGTAGCTGTCATGTCCCTGCTTCCTCTGTTGCTGTTTTTGTTTCATCCTATGTCGCTCTTGTTGTACTGTTGTTGTTGCCCTAGTGTTGTTGTACTGTTGCTGTTGCCTAGTGCTGTTGTACTGTTGCTGTTGCACTGTTGCTGTTGTCCTAGTGCTGTTGCACTGCTGTTGTTGTACTGTTGTTGTTGTTGCACTGTTGCTGTTGTTGTACTGTTGTTGTTGTTGCACTGTTGCTGTTGCCCTAGTGCTGTTGTACTGTTGTTGTTGTACTGTTGTTGTTGTTGCACTGTTGCTGTTGTTGTACTGTTGTTGTTGTTGCACTGTTGCTGTTGCCTAGTGCTGTTGTACTGTTGCTGTTGCACTGTTGCTGTTGTACTGTTGTTGCTGCACTGTTGCTGTTGCACTGTTGCTGTTGTACTGTTGCTGTTGTACTGTTGCTGTTGCACTGTTGCTGTTGTACTGTTACTGTTGTACTGTTGCTGTTGCACTGTTGCTGTTGTACTGTTGCTGTTGTACTGTTGCTGTTGCACTGTTGTTGTTGCACTGTTGCTGTTGCACTGTTGCCGTTGCACTGTTGCTGTTGCTTTGTTGCTGTTGCACTCTTGCTGTTGCACTGTTGCTGTTGCACTCTTGCTGTTGCACTGTTGCTGTTGCAATGTTGCTGTTAATAGTCTACTTCTCCTCTAGCCGTCAATTTGCTGTTTCCACTGTTAAACTGTTTACTGTTGAAGCATTTTTTTCATTTGATGAACTGGCGTTGCATTTGCAAGATTCCACACCAAATCACTTAAAATTAAATATAATGGAAATGATTGCGATGCTTGGCCGCTGAACTTCCCAATTACTTGAATTTCACCCATTTAATCAATGGAAATTTTGATGTATGAATGGACTCGTGAACTAAATATTCATTGCATGAATAGTGAATGTCGTTTGTTAGCCACGACTGCCATGTGTCTGCACGACAGCCATGTGTCTGCACGACAGCCATGCGTCTGCACCACAGCCATGTGTCTGCACCACAGACATGTGTCTGCACCACAGCCATGTGTCTGCACCACAGCCATGTGTCTGCACGACAGCCATGTGTCTGCACGACAGCCATGTGTCTGCACCACAGCCATGTGTCTGCACGACAGCCATGTGTCTGCACGACAGCCATGTGTCTGCACGACAGCCATGTGTCTGCACCACAGCCATGTGTCTGCCAGACAGTTTATGTCTGCCCGTTAGTCTGTTAACAGGCGACGAACTTTTCACCTATACAAACAGGAGCATTGATTGCTTCCTGTCTGCCATAAAATAATAATAATGTTAATAAAAAGCTCAACTTTTCACAACAATAAAATGTTTTGAAATGGGCAACTTAACAATAATGTGTAGGTTGAATTAACCTATTCCAGTGTAGGGTATAACATTCGTAGGTTGTTTATGATCAGTTTCCCGTACTTAAAAAATATCCTTCTTGGAAATAAGGACGGGGTTTTGGTTGGCCGACCATCACGCGACTATAATCTTTGTCGAGGTTGTCTTCCGGGACGACGATGTGTTGACAACTGCGACAAGACTACAGACGTGCCACGTCTTTATAGAGAGCAGTTAGAGAGCAGTTAGAGAGCAGTTAGAGAGCAGTTAGAGAGCAGTTAGAGAGCAGTTAGAGAGCAGTTAGAGCACTTCTAATTGCAGTGCAAAGCTTCAGGTCACGACAGTTTTATGGCCATTGTATACACCGGGAAAATTAACCCGTTCTATTGTCACATTAATGACACACATTCTTACCCACAGCTTACCAGAGAGCGTATGTACGTATATAGCAATGCATGATACGCCTTCTTTTCCAACATGTGTCAGGATGACACACATTACCTATACCATAACCCTCGTCATAACCTTAACTAAAGCAAACATTAAAGATGGCTAATATTCACATGACTCATTACCACTCAATGAGAGTTACTTTATTAAAGTAATGATGCACCATTTGTTATTGTGTGTCATGCTGAAACAGTTTGACGCAGCAAAAAGGAAAATCAGTTCGTTACTATTCGGACAATGTGACCCATCAATGTTTATGTGTATATAAAGTGGCTTCAATACAAGCATTATAGCGCGCGTTAGCGGCGCATTATAGCGCGCGTTAGCGGTGCATTATAGCGCGCGAGTGTCACTAAGCCCACTCAGTAAAGTGTGTCAGCTGACCCACTAATTACCGCGTGCAACAACAAGCCACTCATCAGAGAGTGTCAGCTCAAGCCACTCATCAGTGTCAGGAGCTTCAGTTCCGTCGGCACAAAAACTCTGTCATCGGAGCTAAGCTTTTGTGCTCAAGCACATGGTTTTTGTGCTATTAAATCTTGTGGGGCTGTGAAGGGTTATTAGACCCTGAAGGGCTTCGTGGGGTTAGACCATGTGGGGTTTTCTGGGGTTAGACCCTGCTGGGCGTTGTAGAGTTATAGCCCTGTTGGGCTTGTGGGGTTGGATCCAAAAGGGCTCGTAGGGTTAATCTCTTTAGCACTTTTTATGCGGTTTGAACCTGTGAAGCTTCGTGGGGTTAAAGCTTGATGAGTTTCGTGGGGCTAAACCCTGTGGGGCTTAGTAGGGTTGGATTGGTCGGGGTAAAGTGGGATGTTAATTCCCGCTCACAGGCACTCACTCCATTAGCCACTCACCCCATTAGCCACTCACTCCATTAGCCACTCACCCCATTAGCCACTCACTCCATTAGCCACTCACCCCATTAGCCACTCACCCCATTAGCCACTCACCCCATTAGCCGGTCACCCAACCCGCTCCTCCCCACCAGATTCTCCCCTGATGTCTTCCCCACATATATTATTATTTATTATATATTCTTCCCATATATATAGTACATTCAATTGATCAATTATTTTGTACGTTGTCTCTTTATCATATTTCCAGCCCAGATTATATTCTTATATTCGGCGCTTATCATATTTCCTTATTTATTATTCCTTATCTCATCTTAATAATAACTATACGAAAATCATTTATATATTTGTTCACTCTCCGTAACGATCATTTATTATTGAAGGTTTTATTTTATCAATAGTTGGTGAAATAAAAAATACATTAATACTCTATTCTAACTTCAATATTACAGACATATTATAAACATTACAGAACATGAATATGCGAAACATGTGTGGATGTTGATACAAAGAAAAGGCTTAATAGGCTTCAGCTTTAACTATCATGTGAATTCATATTCATATATCGTTAATTATTATCTGTCATTCTCATACCTGATATATAATTATTTACATAATACATTTTTCATACGTGGAATGATAGGTGCGATGAATAGCACGCTACGTTCCATTCATTAATCGCTACGTTCCAATTAATGCATGGGATGCAAATTGTTCGTAATGCTCAGAAGTTAAGTAAATAAATCATAAAAAATAAATTATATAGCGTACATTGCGATGGAGAAGAATTAGAAGAAAATGTGTTCAGAAGCAATACAACAAAGAAGCTTTCTAACACAGTCTATGTGATAAATAGTAATATATGAAAATAACAATGAATCGTTTGCTAAAATCATTAAAAAACGAAATTTAACATGATAATAAACATCGCTGTTCACACAAAATTGCATTCATTTCTCTCAGTGTCTACATGGAACATAATAATTAGACTCCCACCTGCACCCTCCCCTCGGCCTTCGTTTAACTGAGGGAAACAACTACAGGCAAAGAAATAGGTGAGGTTTTGTCTAAATAGTGATGCAATTTTTGCCCTTGTCTGATAAGTGGCTCGTCCTGACCGAGTTTGGTGAGTCAAAGTGCGTATCAAAGCGTGTTACGTTCGTTCCCTGCTCGAGCGGTGAATAAAAAAATATAACTCAGTACTCACTGCAGTGAGTGACAGAGAGCGCATTTTCGCGAAAACTTGAGGTCACGGACAGACGGACGGACAAACAGACAGATGGACGGACGGACATGGCGAGCACAATAGTGCATTTTTTCCCTAAATGAGAAAATGCACTAAAAAGAGTGTCAGTATTGAGTCAATATGACACATGCATTTTAATGAATATGTTTCCCTCGCCTCTCTTGAGGGGAAACTACTTCTCCTTCAGCACGAGATAACATCTCCCCCTCTTACCCCATTTGGATAATCCCACCCCACCCCCTCACACTATAAGGGTAATTCCCGTTAGGGAATTGCTAAGCAGAAGTTGTCCTTAACTAAACTTGACACTCTGAATCTCCATAAGCAGGTTATCTAGCAACCAATCTTTATCTACTATAGTAGTAGCTAATCTTTATCTAGGAACTAATCTTTATCAAGGACCAAATTTTATCTAGGAGCTAGTCTTTATCTAAGAATTAGTCTTTATCTAAAATCAAGTTTTTATCTAGTAGCTAAACTTTATCTAGGAGCTAATCTTTATCTAGTGAGAGATCACTCAGAAAAATGAAGTCTAGATTAGATATTGTCCAATTCCTGACACACTTTCTGGATAGTGTGGACAATAATGAAATATTGTCGCAATGATGACAATCTTTCTGCTTTTGATACATTCTTTTAGCGTGTTTTTTTACTTTCTACTGATACGTTCTTTTACCGTAGCAAACTGGGTCAAAATGACTCACACAAGCAATACGTCAGTGCATCATTTTTTGGACAAGGTTTCACTTATTTCTCTGAATGGACGTTATCGCTTTATCTACTCAAGCTGCTTGGCTGTGATGAACAGATGGACGTGAAATGGACTGGCATGCAGGATATATTAAATTTTAGTACACAGACTTGAATGGATTAATTTTGTTTTGAATGATAACTGAAGATTCTTCGTGTGTTTTTTGTGTTGAATGGGAATCCGTGTGTGTTTGTTTGTGTTGAATGGGAACAAATGTTTGTTGAAGTGTTTGTGCTTGGTTCTTCTGTGAAGTTTAAGACGTCTTCGTCGATAGTCACGCTGATGTGCCGCCTTCGTCAACAATTTTCATTAAACCGTTGATTTTCAAGCCTCCCCACTCGGACCCCAGAGGGAACGTCGAACATACCGTATTATATCTGCCTGGGGCCAGCTGATGCCCACGGTTGGGCCAAATGATAATTTCTGTTAGGCCAGATGATGTCCTTAGTTGGGCCATCTGATGCCTTCAGTTGGGCTAGCTGATGCCCTCAGTTGGGCCAGCTGATGCCCTCAGTTGGGCCAGCTGATGCCCTCAGTTGGGCCAGCTGATGCCCTCAGTTGGGCCAGCTGATAATTTCAGTTAGGCCAGATGATGTCCTTAGTTGGGCCATCTGATGCCTTCAGTTGGGCCAGCTGATGCCCTCAGTTGGGCCAGCTGATGCCCTCAGTTGGGCCAGCTGATGCCCTCAGTTGGGCCAGCTGATGCCCTCAGTTGGGCCACGCCACCAGATGCTCTCAGTTGGGCCAGCTGATGCCCTCAATTGGGCCAGTGAATGCCCTCAGTTAGGATCCGAAATCGTCTCAACCGATCAATCCGGAATTTTACTAAAAAACGCATCCAGTCGTCTCTTGAACCTCGCAAGGGTGAACTCTCTTCCACTAAGCTGCATCGTAGAGGCGTTGAATAGCCTCGCGGTCTCGCTACTGAAACAGATCTCTCCCGAGGAGTCTGAAATTCGACTGCCGCTCGGATGTAAAATTTAAATATTGTGCGCATGCAGCCTCCCTTTTTCATCATTGGAATATGATACCATTCTGAAGGTCTCACTTTCAAATTTTGCAGCCAGTCCGGTTATCATCTTTCTGAATAAGAATATACCTTTTGGGTTATACCAGCCCCAGTAGCGCAGGTTCCTCATTTCGCTGATCCTGGACATGCATGAAGGTCCGTTGCCGAACTCCGCCCGGCGTGAGAGGCTACCAAAGCTGGCAGTAGTACTCTAGAATGGGGAGAGCTGGGGCTCTGATGCTTGTAATCAACGGCTTCGTCTCTCTTGTTCAGAATGTCCAGCAGATCAATTCTTTTTTTATATGCTTTTCGCAACTATTCCCGCCATGGGATCATCAAATATAACTTAAGTACTCATTAAAACTCCGGGTTCACGGACGAATTGTTTTCTCCTCAATTTCTGAGCCGCCGAACGACAAATATCGATGCCGAATCCTGACCTCTATGCTAACTCACGCTTCTCATTACTTAGAACCTAATTGGTGCCGTTGAATTGCATATTAGACACTAGGTCACAGTCCTAGA